CCAGGTGCCCAGAGGCTGGAAGCCCACGCCAGAGGGGGAGGTGGCCCCTTGGCCCAGGCAGGACTCAAGACTTAAAAGGACACAAAGCAGGCCACGTGGCAAGTGGAGCGGATGGGGCGCAGACGCGTAAAATAGCTTTAAGAGGCTCCAAACACACAGAGTTTTGGAAAAGGACCTAATTGTTTGTAGTCACTTTAAAACAGAATAAAGATGTGCTTCCAAAATTTGGGTCTGGCGCCCTCCAAGAGTGAAAGCTCCACCCAGCATCTGGCAGCGGCCCAAACCCCAGGCTCTGGGCACACCCTCCTGACAGCTCACACCCAGCGCCACCCCAGCGGGGCCACAGTGCCCATGACCTGTGTGTGTGCAGGGGGATCCTGAGCTGGGTCTCTCGGGCTGTGGTTTCCGGGTAAGGATGCGTGCAGATGAATCCCAGCTGTCACCCCTCCCACGTGGCGAGCCAGGCGAAGGCAGAGAAGACACCTTGCCACAAACACGCACAGGCTCTCTCTCTCTCACACACACACAGACATGTACAACATCCACACACGTGCACACATGCACCTGTGCACATACGTGTTTGCGTGTGCACATGTGTGCACAGACGTGTGCCAATGCACAGGTACTCGCCCGCGCACATCCACAGGTACACACACACACACGCCCTGCACCAGAGCCCAGGGACACAGGAGCAGGAGCCACAGGAGGCAGCCTGGGCTCGGGCACCAGGCAGACCTGGGCCCGTGTCCATGCTCACGTCCTCACTGGCCCAGCTTGTGCCAGGCTCGCCCTGGGGGCCAGGACCCCTGGCGAGCGGGTGGCCCGGTGGGAGAGCGTGGCAGCACGAGGCCAGGCTGGCGACTCTGCCTCTGGGACACAGCGTCCCCCCATTCTGAGGTCCACACGTGGGCACTCCTGCCTGGGTTGTGGTGCAGCCTCCTGGACGGCCCCTGTTCCCCAGCCGCGTCTCCTCGCGCCGCACTGCCTCCCCCTCCCTGCCGGGCAGAGGCCCCCCGCCTCCACCAGCCCCCCTGCCAGTACCGCCCCCCACGCTCCCACTCCCCGGCTCTCAGCACAACATCGCCGTGTCCAGTCGGCCCCAGAGCCCCCCGTCCCAAACCCGGTGCCACCTTTGGGTTTGTCTCCTGGGGGGTCACCTGGCTCCTGCTTATGTGTTTGTGGGCGGCCCAGCCCTGGAATGGAGACCCCTGGCTCCCGCGTGGGGCCAGTGACCATCGAGTGACAAATGTGGGAATGGACGCAAGGACACACAGAGGGCAGGCCAGGGTGCTCCGGGAGCACGTGGCAGGGAGAAGGTGGGGATGGGGCGGGCGTGGACGATCTCAGAAAGCCAGGCAGGTGGGGAGAGGCTGTGGCCCCCGGGAGGCCTGCACCCGGGCATGCCTGAAGCATGAGGAAGGGAGAGGGAAGGTCGGGGTTTGCCCCTGGACACCTGGCGGGGTCGGAGAAGGGGGTTTGCTCGGCACCAGGCTCGGGCTGCCTCTGAGATGCCCAGGAGCTGATGACACAGGAGACTGGGGACAGCACGGTGACAGACACCATTTGCGTCACGTGAGCAGAGGTGGAAACCGAGGCTGTGGGTGTGGACAGGACCTCCAGGGAGGGGTCAAGTACACCCAGAGCCCAGGCCAAGCGGGAAGGCCACAGGGACTGCCAGGCAGGCGCCAAGAGGCCCGGGAGCCTGGAGCTGCCATCCTAGGGAGAAGCTGTGGGGGGGTGGGGGGGACAGCGTGTGCAGTGGCCATCCAGGCGGTGGCGCGGGGACTGAGGCTGTGGTGTGCAGGTGAGGAACTCCCTAGCAGGGGCTCCACAGAAGAGTACGGGGTGAAGGGGGCTGGCAGGACAGCACAGCAAGAGGATGGGCGTCCTGAGCAAGGGGCAGGTGGGCTGGAGGGGGGAGGTGTTGGGGGGGGCGGCATTCCCACACCTACTCTATAGCTACGTGACCTCCCTGAGCCTCAGTTTCCCCGTGTGATGGAGACACGGCCACGCTGCCCAGAACAGCCTGAGGCAGAAACGCAGGTGCACCCAGGCCAGGGCCAGCCCAGCATGGAGGGCTGAGGATCCCCCCTCCCTCCACCCTGCTCAGGGCTCCACACTGACTGGCCCAGAAACTAGGAATTGGACCCCAAACTCACCCTGCGCACCCTGCCCACCCCCTGGGAAGAGAAGCAGGCAGGGTGAGGGCCTGGTGCAGGGCACAGAGCCGGCGGGCGGGGGAGGAGCAAGCACGCTGGGCCCCCAGCGCTCACAGGCTCCCATCAAGTGCCACCTCCTACGAGAGGCCCTCCCAGCCACCCCGGTGGAAGGGCAGGGCCATTGACAAGCCACACAGTCACAGCAGGGAACACACAACTCCCCGCCAGGGGTCAGGGCCAAATGTGGTGACCCCTGTGGATCTCTCGCCAATGGACAGACGACAGGGGTCATGTCACGTGACACCATCATGGAGCCACCGGCCATATCAAGATCCCCGCATCGGCCACCCCTGGGGGGGGGGGCGACCTACAGCCTCTGCTTGCTTTACGTGGCCTGAGAACAGTCTTTACACTTTACATGGTAAAAAAAAAAAAAAAAAAAAGACTTTCACGACAGGTGAAAATGATATGAAATTGACATATCAACATCCACAAAGTTTGACTGGCTCGCCCGTTTGTCTCCCCAACAATAGCAAATCTGAGTGGCTGTGATGGAGGCGTGTGGCCCGCAAGGCCTCAAATGTATACCCAGCCCTTTACAGAAAACATTCACCCAGCCCTGCACAGACCCACCGACTTCCAAAGGCAAGAAGCAAAGAGAAAAAGGGAGACTGCTCTAGATCAAAGATACTGAAAAGACCGAACGAGCAAGGACGGGTCCTGCTGCGTCTGGAGTCAGGCAAATTAGAGGACGTTTTGGGGAAGTCAGGGTGTCTGGACATGGACAGGCCTTGCATTTGCTGCCCAAGTGGACATGCACATGGTTGGGACCCCCGGCTGCAACCCAAGCCCCATGCATCCCAGGGAGTGAGTGGGCGGCAGCAGCCAGGGCTGCGCATGGAACAGGGGAGAGGTCTCACCCTGCACCCAAGTGGGCCGCTTGGTTGGACTGGGCAGTGCAGCCCACCTAGGACACCTCCTGAGAGTCCCACAGTGGGAGCGTGGAGCTTGTAGGGCTTGGGGACAGGGACCCAGGTGCCACGCTGGGGGGGGAGGGGTCAGGGCTGCAGGGAACCCGACTCAATCACACCACGAGGGTGGGGAAACCCTGTGGGCCCTACAGGGTCAAGTCCCCCGCCCCCTCCCCTCCTCATTCCTAGGAGCAAGACACGTGCACCCCATGGAAGCCAAGGTTGGCTCAACTCAAACTCAGGGCCAGAGAGAAATTGCCGAGTGCCTGGTGTCCTGGCTCTTAGGGCCCTGCCAGCCTCTCGAGCCTGAGAAAGGCCCCCATCCCCCAGCCCAGGGCACTAGCCTTCCACTGGACAGCTCTGATGGTCAGAGGTGACCCTGTGGCCCCCTGATTCATGGCCCTGTTGGGGCCCCTGGACAAGGATGTGGACGGGTCTGCTTTCAGGCACCTTCCCAAGGTGGGCCCCAACACCTTCAGAATCCGGTAGCACCTTCCCATCAGAAATGGTCCAATATGCAGAGGCAGGGACCCTCACCCACAAGTGCACACACCCACCCAAGGCCCCCGAGCCCCGCTGTGGGTCCAGGGCGGCCTCCTCCCCAGGGGCCATGCAGCAAGGGGCGTGGCACCTTCCTGCCCAGCACCCCCACCCCAGCCCAGGTGCCCACACTCACCTGCAGCATGAGCTCACACTCATCTCGCCCCACGAAGATGAGCTCTCGGGGGAGCCGGTGGCGAGTGCCGCTGCCGCTCACCAGGAACCAGGAGGTGGCGCTCATCTTGGCACCGGCGAGGCCTGTCCGGCCCTGGGGGGTGAGGGGTCATCAGAGCAGGGCTCCCCAGCCTGGGCCCGGGCCCCCGGACACCCCAAAGGCTGGCACAGATCCTGCCCCGATGAGGTTCAAGCACCTTCATGGCACCACCGCGGTGGCCGCTTCCAGAAATGCTGGGCTCCAGGCCAGCCCCTCACCGAGTGTGCCTGTCCCCTGTGGACCCCTCCCAGGCTAAGGTCGCCCGGTCCTCCCTTTCACTCTAGGTCCACACATAGCCTCTTCTCTCTCTCTGGGTGCCAGAGATTGGGTGCATGGGGCGCTAGCCACACTGCCTGCGTGTGGACCCACGTGTGTCCCCGTGACCTGCAGGAGCTGCTCCCAGGTGGGACTCAGCGTGGCCCTTCAGCGTCCCCACAGGCTAGGCCCACACCCAGGACATAGACTCTGACCCAGAGCCTCTGCCTCCCCTGCTGGAGACTCTGGGGTGGGCCCAGGCAGGGGCGAGGAGGAGATGGCTGGAGACCGGAGCCCTGAGCCATCAATACGCCTGCCACTGAGAGGGGGGTGGACGTCCCTTGGCAGCCACTGTGACCACCTTGCAGACGCCCCCAGGCCAGGACAGTACCGGGTGGTCAGGGCAGCAGGCAGTCCCTCCAGTGCCCAGGAGGGAGGTGATGCTTTGGTGCCTGAGATCCTGGGGGCTGATATGGTCAGGACGGACAGGGGAGTATCAGGGTGCCTGAGGGGCACAGTGGGGACAGCCTGAGCGACGACAAGGGCCGATGTCACCCGAGACCAGGCCCTGGGGCAGCCTGAGGCCCCATGCAGCCAGTGTGCACATGCTCTCACACAGATGCCAGTTGCCCAGAGCCGTGTCACAGGGGCACAGGTACCAGAATGTGCAGACACACCTGCGCCCCACACATGTGCACACAGCTTACACACACACCCGGAGCACCACCTACAAATGCCCTGGCCGCTCTCCTGTGGAAGCTCACACACGCGTGCACACGCGCGCGCGCACACACACACACAGTGGGTAAAACGTGTCCTGAGCACTGCCATGCGCCAGGTGATGTCCTGGGCTCTGAGAGACACACACTGTCCCTGCATCACGGGGCTTCCCTCCAGCCAGGGAGGTGGGCAGCAAGAAGGGAAACCGCTTGTGAGAAGGTGCGAGTGACACAGAGAGAAATAGGGGTGGGGACAGCAGCGCAGCTGCGAGGGGTCCATCTACAGAGGGCGGTCAGGGAAGGCTCAACTGGGAGCGGGTGGAAGCAGGCATGTGAACATCTGGGGGCCGTGCTCCAGGCAGAGGGAACAGGCAGGGCCAAGACGCTGGGCCGCGTGTCGCGGGAGTTCTGTGGCTTGTCTGGGAGCGAAGGGGGAGGCCCTGGAGGGCCCAGGACATGCTGCATCCCTAAGTGCAGAATGCAAATGCAGTAGGTCTGTTCCAAAATTATGAAGGATTTCAAAACAGCGAGAGCAGAATGTTAAACCCAGTGCAGGGTCTGAGTGCGGGGCCCACGCAAGAGCATGTGTCACACACCCGTGAGGCCAGCCCTGGAGGCCCTGGGTCCGTGATCTGACTCACAGTGTGCAGAACAGATGGCAGGTCAAGCAGGAGACTAGTTAAGATGTGAGACAATAACGAGGGAGAGAGAAGATGGTGCTGGCACCTGGCGGGAGCACAGGACCTAGGGAGTATCCCCTGGCCCTGTCCCTGCAACGCCCACACCCAGAGCCTCAGCCGCAGGCTCCTACGAGCCAGGTCTCAACACCAGGCCCCACCCATCGGTGAAGGCCCAAGTGACCATGTAACCCATGGCAAACCCTCATGTCACCTCGGGCAAGCAGGTGGGAAGATGTCGAAAAATCCACCCAGAACACAGCCCCAGCCGGCCAGAGACCCTCATCCTGGGACCCCTGCCCTTCCTCAGGGTCCAGCCAGAGGGGCAAGCTCTGGAAGCCGAAGGGGCGGGGACTCCCAAGCCCCTGCAGCCTACGGAGGCCTCATCAGCACAGCCGGAGGAGATGACAGAGCTCTCTCTACGAGAGTCCCCACCCAGCCCCCAGCCCAGCCCAGCTCCCACACTCTGCCATCACCTGCCACCAGGTCGTGACGGGCAGTTGGCAAGGGAACCCCACCCAGAGGAGGCCACAGCCTCTGCTTATGGGAAAGGGAGTCCAAACCCCCAGAGCCGGGTTATGCGGCTGTGGCGGAGCCAGGCCGCCCCTGCCGCTGCCAGCCCATCTCGTAAAGGCTCAGGCCTGGAGTCGTGGACGCTCCCAAGCAGCCTGCGGCCGGTTCAGGGCTAGGCTGGCCATCGTTGCTAGGAGGGAGAATACTAAACACCCCAAACTTGTCCCCCCAGAAGGGCCACCCGCCTGGAGGGTAGGGTAGGAGGTGGAGTCGCCCAGGGGCAGGGGCCGGGAGGGGCAGAGAGTGGCGGCGGGCGGCTGGAAAGCGCAGACTGAACGGAGGCCGGGACAGCGGAGAGGCGGCGGCTGCAAAGGGAAATGAGGAGAGAGGGAGGTGGAGGAAGACGGAGGGAGGGACCGCGGGAGGGGAGACCAGGCCGGGAGGAGGCCGGGCGGGAGCGCCGGGCCCGCAGGGGGAGGGAGCGACGCCTTCTCCTGAATCAGCGCTCGCCGGCGGCGGCCAGGGCCCAGCCGGTGCCTGGGCGGGGACCCCGGCGCCCGGGCCAGCGCCCCCCTCTCCAGGCCGCGTAGACGCGCGCCCGGCGGTCCCTCCCGGCCTGACGCAGACCTGGGCCGCCTCCGCGGGGGCGAGGACCGACCTGGCCAGGTGCGCCGGCAGCCCCCACCCCCGCGCCTTTGGCCGGCCCACCGGGCTCCGCT